CTGGACTAAATAAATGCACTTAATTTTTTTTATTTTTGTAAAATATATATAACTGAAATTTACCATTTTAACCCTTTTGGGGTATACAGTTGATTGGCATTAACTACATTTATCATGTTGTGCAATCATTACCACTATCCATTTCTAGAAATTTTCATCTTCTGCCACTGAAACAAGAACTACCCATTCTCCACCCACCCCTGGCAATTGCCAGTCTACTTTCTGTCTTTATGAATTTGCCTACTATCAGTACTCCATATAAGAAAAATCCTACAATACTTGTCCTTTTGTGTCTGGCTCATTTCACTTAACATAATGTCCTCAAGTTTCATCCATGTGGAGCAGATGTCAGAACTTAATTTCTTTTTAGGGCTGAATAATATTCTATTGTATGGAAATGTCCCATTTTGTTTATCCATTCACCTGTTGATGGACACTTGGATTATTTCACCTTTTAGTTATCGTGAACAATGCTACTATGAACATTGGTGTACACATATCTGTGCTACTATGAACATTGGTGTGCTAATATCTGAGTCCCTACAAATTTGATTTTTAACAAAAATCTCATGTCTTAACACATACATCATGTGTGATGAGTATGTAAACCTTCTTGAGAGACTTTCCCTTTGACAGGTTAAATCTCCAAAGATGCCTGGCCAGTATGGTTCAGTGGTTGAGTGTCATGAACCAAAAGGTCATGGTTTGATTCCCAGTCAGGGCACATGCCCGGGTTGTGGGCTTGATCCCAAGTAGGGGGTGTGTAGGAGGCAGCTGATCAGTGTTCCTCTCTCATTGGTGCTCCTAACTCTCTATCCCTCTTCGTCTCTCTCTAAAATAAATAATTAAAAAATATTTTAAAAATTTCCAAAGACTTTATAAAGAATTCATACAAATGAAATATTTTTATAATTGTGAAGTACAGATAGAAAATAGGCTTAAACCAGGAGAGAGACTTAACACAGAGGAAATACAGGTGCAGCAGTTTGATGACCAGATATAAATATTAAATACCACAACCACCGTAACACATCCTGCATTTCTTTTTTTATAGATATTTGTCCTAGTTCCCAGGAACTGAACATAAACTTGGGAGGCTGGGTTAGTTAGAGTGCTCTTAGTGTGATACTTAACTTTAGTGAAGATTATTTTGTTTAATTTTTTTTTCTCAATGTCTCCCCCTTCACAATACAGACCAGGCAAAGAGCCTGAGCTGAGGTGTATATGGGGTGAGTTTGCTCTGCCTCCTATTTCTGTACAGTCAGTGTAAGCACACAGCCTGTGGTAAGCACCAGGAGGCCTGTTTAATATTTATTTAAACTTCTCAAACTTATTCTGTAGGTTAAAATAAACTGTTCGTTTTCTTATTTGAAAGTGGACTTTGCATTTTTAAATCTATTTATAAATTCACATAGCTGCTATCCCTGGCTCCTAGGAACTTTGAAAGAGATTTTGTTTTGCTTTCAAATACTGTTAGGGTGTGTGTGTGTGTGTGTGTGTGTGCATTTTCCACAACCTGAGTGGTTTTCTATAAACACAGGGAGCACATTCACTCGGAAGGTGAGACAAGACAGATAAAACAGATGGTTAGTTGTGCGTCAGCCCACATGACACCAAAGGTGCTGCTAATTTTGAGAACCATGCAGATGAGATGTCAGCGGAGCAAGTATGTAGCTCAAGCAAGCTGTTTAACTGTAAGCCCCTAGCACTACTCCTGCTAGCTGTGGGCTGGAACTGTTGCTAGGTAACCATTTTGCAATGGACACCTAGCGACTATTAACTGCCATCTTCCTTTTCTGTTCTATCATTCCATGAAGGGACTTGCAGTTTCTAAATTCAACGTAACATCAAAAGTCGGGGGTGGGGTGGGTGGGGGGGAGATATCTTAGACTATTTGTGCCTACTAATGGAAATACTTAAAAGAAAAGCAGCATGCCTTCTAACAGGCCACTCATGAATAACTACTTTCTTAACATTTCCATTGTTTTAGGTCAATGGAATTTACTTCACAAACCAACATGTTAGTGTTCTTATTTTGGGTTGCTTTTACATTTTTAAAGATTATACTTTTTGGAATTTCTCCCAAAATTCAGTAAGTGTGTACTTTAGATATAAAGGAAATAAAAGCTAAATTTATACTGTTTAGCTCATTTAAATAAGTCTTTTTGTGAGGATACAAATTATGCTATTGAATAATTATCATTCCATGGAAAGGCATAATCTTTTTAGGAACAAAAGCCCACATTTTGGGGGCATATCTCTCATTGGCTAGAATTAGGTGCTTAAGAAAGTTAAGTAACCTCATGGGGGGCGGGTAATTGAAGAATTTGTGGAGGGGTAAAAGGCAGTGAGGAACATATACAAGTAAATTCTATATTAGTTGGGATTAGATTCATTCGTGACAGAAAAGTCAAAATAAGAGCGAGGTAAGCCCGGCCGGTGTTGCTCAGTGGTTGAACAGTGACCTATGAACCAGGATGTTAGGTTTGATTCCCAGTCAGGGCACATTTCTGGGTTACAGGGTTGATTCCTAGTAGGGGGCCTGCAGGAGGCAGCCAATTGATGATTCTCTCTCATCATAGATGTTTCTATCTCTCTCTCCCTCTCTCTTCCTCTCTCTGAAATAAAAGAATTTTATTCTTTTAATAAAAGAGTGGTTAAGGCAGTAGTTTCTTTTTCTTTTCATGCAAATTCAACTGGTGTAGTGGCTTCACAATCATAAGAAGACAGGCAGCTCCACCCACGCAGAGCGTCCTATCTACCCAGCAGGAAGGAGGAAAGTGAGAAGGACACACCCCTTTGCTTAAGGACACTTCCTGGAAGTACCACATCTCACTTCCCGCTAGAGCAGTGTCTCTGTGCAGTTTCTTCTGCCTGCAGTCTGACAGACTCCACTCCGTTCCAGTTTAGGTCAACACTTTCCCCAGTGAGGCTGTTTCATGCATTTGTAATTCCCATAGTTTTGTCACATTCTGGGATCCCTCAACCTCCTAAATGATTTCTAAATTTGTACACATTAGGCTCACTCATTATGCTACAATATTCTATGGGTTTTGTCACATACTGTTTAAAACATCAATAAACTGTATCATTGTGATATTGCTTTAATAAATTATGTATAATAATAAAAGCATAATATACTAATTAGACCGAACAGCTGAATGACCTTCCAGATGTCATTCCAGACGTCCTTCCAGACGAAGCCGCCGAGGCGGAGTGCCGGGGTTCATGTCCCAGCATCAAGAAGGGTTCAGGAATCTGGAAAAGGGGCTGCGCGTAGATGACATAGAAATCCGGGGACTAATAAAGAGTCCGGAGTCAAGTTATAATTTTGAAAGGCACTGGGGGTCAGAGGACCTTCAGCTAAAGGAACTGAAGACTACCTCCTTGTCTAGGATCCTTGCTTTTATTAACACAATTTGTCCTAAGGCAAGGTGGTGATAATACACTTCAATGGGTAAGGTTTCAAAGGGTACAGAGTCCATTGTCAGAATGGGGGAATAGCCTAAGGCTGATCAGGTGTTTGGCCAGTAGGAGGCAATAACATGTAGATTAAGATGCCTTTTAGCTGTCTGGCAGCCACAATCAGTTTCCTATTCAGGTTTGGGGAAATGCCTTTAGCCATTCCCAGCCGGTGACTACATGTGTGACGACTCAACCCTGTTGAGTCCCCAAGTTTCATCAACCTTTGATGAAACTCTTGAAATTATGACATGCTGGAATTGGTCTACGGCAGCGGGGGCCAAGGCAGAGGAGGTTAGGGGCAATCAGGCAGGCAGGTGAGCAATTAGGGGTGATCAGGCAGGCAGGCAGAGTGGTTAGGGGTGATCAGGCAGGCAGGCAAGCCAGTGGTTAGGAGCCAGCATCCCAGATTGCGAGAGGGATGTCTGGCTGCTGGTTTAGGCCCAATCCCCCAAGGGGTCCTGGATTGCGAGAGGGTGCAGGCTGGGTTGAGGTCCCACCCCCACCCCATGCACGAATTTCGTGCACTGAGCCTCTAGTATTTAATAATTTAGTATGTTAATATATATTTAATAGAAACAACAACATATAAATTGCTTAGGGTTGCAAGCTGTTAAATTGCAGAGCTAGGATTCAAACCCTGATGAATGGATCTGCAAAGCCCTCTTTCCTTCTACCTTGCTATTTTCTTTTTTAAGAATCTTAACCTCTGAGTCTTCTCACTTTATAGGAAGAATTTTAGATTTCCTGTGTGGGGTCACTTGCTCTTTCCCATGTATTGGCACAGCACTTCCTAGATATCAGGTCAAGCTTAAAGAGTGGCTCTGAAAGGGTTTTTTTTAGAATTGCCAACTCCATTGGATGAAAACGGCACATTGACAACTGATTTGATAATCTATATATATAAAAGCCTATGGCCGGTCGCTATGACGTGCACTGACCACCAGGGAGCAGACAATCAATGCAGGAGCTGCGCCCTGGTGCTCGGTGTGCTCCCACAGCTGGAGCACCGCTCAGCTGACTGATGGGCACCACACACCAGGCTCATGACTGGTGAGCACAGCTGCGGCGGTGTGAGCCTCTCCCACGGCACAAGCCTCTCCTGCCTCCATAGCAGCGTGCTACCAAGCAGTGGCAGGTGTCAGGCACAGCGGGGCTGGGATGAGCAGGAGCTGTGTGGCGCCTGGTCCCACTTCTACATCCCTCTGCGGACATCAGACTGCTGGTTTTGGCCCTAAGGAGTCCCGGATTGCGAGAGGGAGCAGGCCAGGGTTATGGACCCCATCGGTACATGAATTCGTGCACCAGGCCTCTAGTAGATCAATAAAGGGCACAGACTTGTCAAAGTGGTGGATAGGGCATCACTAATGGTCCACTATACAAGCCCATCCCATCACCCACATTTCTTCCCCCTTGTTGTATTAATAGCTTGGATCAGGCAGCACCTATTTGCAATCTCTGCTACTTTCAGCTGCCCAATAACTAGCTGATACTCCCACCCATCCATCCCTCACCACCTCATTACCCTGCCCTCTCACCTCGGAGTTTACAATGTACTTAGTGGGGTTTCTCCCCTTACTTCTGCTGGTGATGGCTGATGGCTGTGGAGGCTAAAGCAAGACGGAACTCGTGCTGTGGCAGAGGAAGGAAATGAGCATTATGTCAAAAGGCTGCCATTTGCAGAAGAAAATAACTGACTTTTTCATAGAAACTCACAGCTAAAATTCAAAATCAGATCACTGTTTTTCCCTTCCCTGATCTGCAACTCCAGTGCATTCTATGGTGGAGACCACTGTCTTCTCTAATCGATCCTTCCCTTCTTCCTTGGTAACAGAATTATTGATTGACGCAAGGCTCAGGGCCATCCAGAATACTGTCTTCCAGACTCCCTGGAAAACTACTCTAGTTGATAAATTGCCTCCCACTGGGTACAGGTTAATAACAATTCAGACACTGCTATCCATGTGTATTGAACAATCAAATAAATGAGTGGTGGATGGTGGGAGCCAGGTTTCTCACTGTTGGAGCAGGGGGAAGTGGCTAGAGTGATCCATGTGGTAATGGATTAGAGTTGGAGACATCTGTATGAACTCATGCTTTGCTTAATATGGATACCAAAGGTTATATATAAAAATGTTTATGCACACATGTAAATACCTGGGTTAGTTCCTTTCTCTTTCAGCTGAGAAGCAAAACCACCCCAGTAACAAGGGACATACCTATCACCTAGATCTTGATTTCTAATACCACTCTCCAATAAAAAGAACCAGGGTTTCTTAGAGAAATGGCTGATTTCTAGGCCTTGGGCAGGAAAAATGCAAAATAAGGCTGGAGCATTTTATAAATCCAGAAATTAAGGAAGTGCTAAAAAAAAAAATCCACAACAAAGGAGTATGTTAAAGGACAAGGAACAAACAAAAAGAGTTTCCAGTGACCAAAGCTGGAAAAATTTGAGCAAGAAAACAAAGAAGGATTTATTGGATTACTGTATAAGCCAAAGTATGTTTTTAAAATCCTTAAACTTATACTGATATAAATGACTGAATAGATAAGAACTTCAAATAACCTATGTAGATATCTGCCCTCAAGAAGGTGAGCCACAATTCCCTACTCCTTACGTATGAGTAGTACATAGTGACTTCCTTCTAAAGATGGGGAGGGGAAGAGAGGGCAGTCATCCTATATAATAAAAGGCTTATATGCAAATCGAACCAATGGCAGAACTACCAGTTGCTATGATGAGCACTGACCACCAAGGGGCAGATGCTCAATGCAGGTGCTGCCCCCTGGTGGTCAGTGTGCTCCCACAGGGGGAGCACCACTCAGCCAGAAGCCAGGCTGCTGTGGAGCCTCTCCCGCCTCCACAGCAGCACTAAGGATGGACATCCCCCAACGGCTCTGGCTCCAGGACTTCGAGAGGGTGGAGGCTGGGCTGAGCCGCCCCCCCCCCCCCTGCACAAATCTCGTGCACTGGGCCTGTACTTGTAAAATAAGTGACAGTAGAGAAATCTGACACTTATTGCCTCAGCCATGTGATCAAGGCTAGCATCAACAATGCTAAGTCATGTTGAGTGTATACATATATCACATCCTTTGACATGATGTGATGAAAATGGTGTTCTATCTCTGTGGTCTTCCTCTCAAGAACACTAACCCCAGTCTAATGACCAAAACATTCATCAAATCCGAATTAAGGGACTTTCTACAAAATACCTGATGAGTGCTCCTCAACACTGTCAAGTTCATTGAAATGAAAGTCTGAGAACCTGTCACAGTCCCGCAGACCCTTAGAAGACATGATGATTGTAATGTATCCAGGATGGGATTTTGGGATAGAAAAAGGACACTCGGTAAAAACTAAGGAAATATGAATGATACGGATGTTAGTTAATAATAATGCATCAACATCAATACATTATTGTGTCATTACATTGATTGTAACTAATATGCTAATGTAAGATGCTAATAATAGGGGAGACTGAGTATGAGATATATGGGAGCTCTACTATCTTTATAATTTTTCTGTAAATCCAGAACTGCTCTAAAATAAACCTTATTTTAAAACAATGCTATATGAAAAGTACTTGGCACTTTGTAAATATTCAGTACATGTGTATTGGCCTGAACTAGTTGTATTATTGGTACAATTTCCCAAACTGAGAGAACAGAATGGCCTCTCTGGCCTGGGAATTCTGTATAGGAACTCCTATTATGGGAATTCTTCCAAATTCCTGTGGAGTTAGTTTCACTCCTGAGAGGGAGTATAGAACATGTTTTTAGAAAGAAAACAAACAGCCTTAAAAAAAAACATCTAGCATCTGGACAAATATAGACTTGCACATCAGAAAGTAGGGAGTGACACATGAGCACAAGCGAATGTTGAAACTGAGTCACTTCATAGAAGATAACAGAGATGCCGTGAACTGACTGATTAGTCACACCACCCTGCTCTAATTGTGATTACAAAAGCCAAACTGTTTTTATGGGCAACACCCAGTGAGCCAGACTAAACAGGAGGAATTTAGGGGGTTTTTAATAGGAGTGCTAAATGATGACACTAGCCTCCTGCTTCAGAAAACCTACCCCAAAGCAAGCCCAACAGCCTAGAGCAAAGCAGGGTAAATTATTCGGTTTCCAAGAGCTTAAGTAATCAAGTGATTATAAAGCAAGTCCCCGAAGGGAGGCGAGGACTCTGGGAGAACTGGGTTCTGGAAGCAACCAACAAGATGCCAAGGGCGAGACACTGATACAGGCAGGGTGTTTAGTCCTTGCTTTCCAAGAGCTGAGTTCACGTCTTTTTTCTTGCTGATTTTTTTTAAGCATTTCTTTTTCTGCAATTCTTTCCTCATTTGGATCTGTTTTTGTATGTTGCCTTAGTTACCATTCACAATTAAGCAAGCAAGCCAACCAAGGAAGTACTAAGTGTAAGAACTTGATAGAAGACAAATGAAAACCATGCATGGGAGTAACTCTCATAATGGTTTTGTTCTGGAGGGATCGGAATTGTTAAATGTAATGACTAGGGTGATGCAACAGGGTTGTTTTACTTTAAGCTGTCGCCATTAGAACTTTCAGGCATGAAGAACTAAATTCATTTTCCTGGGAGCGAAAGTGGTGGTGATGAAAGGACAACGTCTCCAAAATAAAAATTGACACATTTTGAGTAACTTTTGTTTATTACGAAGAATTATTTTGGAGGCAGTTCATATCATACAAATGACCACTTTGGTCTTGTATGGCTCACGTAGCATGTCAAAATTTTGATTAATAATCATTGTATCTCACAGTTGTATAGCTTGTTACTTACATTTTAAGGGGTGTTTCACACACTTTATCCTAGTTGTCACCTTGACATCTTTTTCACCTTAGCCTAATTTGACTTAAATCTGAGATATGTAAAACTAGAGCCTTCTAAGAAATGACCCCAGGGTGAAGAATACCATAAGATATTAAAACTATTGAAATAGTTTAAAATATCCGGATTTAAAGAGAAATCTAGAAATCATTGTATCCACAGTCCTCTGGCTTGGCCTCCTTCCTGGATTCCATTCCCAGGTCATGTCAGAAGAGGCTCTTCCATCTTGGCTGGACTTTAGAAGCTTCTTCTAAAACTCACGAAACCCAGACAACATCCCAGATAAAATAAATCGGTATCTCAGGGGTGGAATCCAGGTATCAGTACTTGTAAAGTTTCCAGGTGATTCCAAAATGCAGCCAAATTTGAGAACCACAGTCCCAACAGAAGAAGAGACTTTTCAATAAAAAATGAGGTTGTGTGATCCCTCTGGCATACTAAGTTTTGGGGTCATATCATTTCTAGTAATGTTTGAAGAATCATCAGTAAAATTAGACTTTTAAATTCTAATTTTATAGACGCGACATACAAGGTTTTCCCCCTGTGTGTGCAATAGATTTGGGGTGGTTTAATCCACTTAAAAACTAAATGAGGGACAAGCATTAATGAAACTCATTGGTAAATTAATTACATGCCATATATTTCAGCCGAGAGAGCAACTTACTTTGTGAATTACTGGACACAGATTGAGGAACAAGTTCTTGAGAAAACATTGACAGTAACTGAGTCACCTGCTGTCACAACAAACTGACTTCTCACCTGAGAGACTTTCAAATTCAGGAATAGTAAATACTTGCAAATGAGTTGTAACAAGCACAAGATATGGAAAAATGACTTTGGGGAGACAGTCGCTCAAGACCAAATATTTAAAATTCTTCTCTCAATCTATCTCTGACATTGATTCATGCATTCTTCTTTAAGGATTTAGATTTTTGGTGCTTTAGATTTCCCATCTGTAAAATGGACTCTAGGCATCTGTTTCAAGGAGGTATTAATATTTTATTTATAACGTACTTTGAAGATGAACTATACATGTAATTGAATTCCATGAACATTCCCATAGAGGTTGCTGACGATATGACTGAGTTCATTGTTCTAGCTAGAAGTTTAACTCTCTTTAGCCATATGTTCATGTTCAGCTCTTTGTCTATTCATTGATTCAACAAATATTCAATTGTGATCTTCCATGTGTCAATGTGTAGTGGTGAAAACAAATTCCTTGTCCTCATGAAGTTACAATCTTGTGTGGGAAACAGACAACACCAAACAGTTTGGATGAGGAAACTAAATTAAATTTGTGTTAAATTGGTGTTAGTATTTAGGCAGATTCTATGACAATGCTACATATATTTTTTTTAATCCAGAGAAGTTGCATAGCAAGAAAAAAGTGACTCCTAAATAATAATGACACTGCAACGAGACTTCAAAGGCATAGTTTATATTTTCTTTATGATCTCAAACAAGACACTAAATTTATTAAGCTGAAAGATCGTTCAAAAGAACACGGTGAATGCCTTCTATAACATGACATCTTACAGTCTATTGTACTGAAGGAAAACATTGAGATGTTTACAATCAAAATAATATAAAGGATTTAAAAATATTGAATATTTCAGGCAAACCAAAAATTATAAATAATAATATAATGGATAATGCATTTTGATTAAAAAAATAACCCACAATCTATATTTTGATTTCATTTAACAGGTTAACAGCAATACATGCTTATAGCTTTGCTGTTTTTTCTTTCTCTTTTTAAATTTAATCAACATACAGCCAAAATTGTTTCATCTATACCCAATGACAGATATATCATTATGCTTATAACTACTTCATATGTATCTCTAAAAAGATAAAGATAGTCTTAAAATAAAGAACAATGCTTTCTTTATCCAGTCAGTGTTCAAATTTCTCTATAGTCTCATAATTTTTTAATAAAGCAGATTTTCAAAAATTGTGGTAAAAATATACATAACATAAAATTTACCATTTTAACCATTTTCAAGTGTGCAGTTCAGTGGCATTAGTACATTTACATTGTTGTACAACTATCACATCATTCACCTCCTGAATTTTTTTCATCTTCCCAAACTGAAATTTCATACCCATTAAACAATTCCTAATTCCTCCCCTTTTCCTTCAGGGTAAGTATGACAATCACCATTCGACGTTCTGTTTTATGAATTTGGCTACCCCAGGTACCTTATATAAACCGAATCATGTAATATCTCTCTTTTTGCGACTGGGCTTATTTCACTAGCATAATGTCTTCAAGGTTTATCCATGTTGTAGCATCTATCAGAATTTCATTTCTTTTTAAGGCCAAATAATATTTCATTGTATGTATATACCACGTTTTGTTTATCCAGTTGTCTCATACTCCTTTTTAACTGTTTTATTTCAGTCTTTGTTTGAAAATCCACTTTATTCTTTGGAAGCAAGGCTGCACATAAAATATGTGGTAGTGGTATTTTTCAAAATTCAAAGAGATGAGAAATCTAAGAAACAAATTACAGAATTTAAACCCTTTTTGAGACCTTTATAGAGCTCTAACAATCCAAAGTTAAATACTTTAAAAATAAAAGCAGACTGTTCTTCACAGTTATGGGGCCAGGCTGTTCTTTGGGTAGTGGATGTGATGTCTGTCAAATGGTGAGACATCACTGCTGAGAGCCCAGGACCACAAGGTGGGCTCCAGGTGCCCAGCTTGTCTGGTTGGGAAAGAGGACCGTGTTCTGGAGTGTTGACTCAGTGCCCCTGGCAGACACTGCTAGTGTTCATTCCCAGACAGAATTTCCCAATATACCTGAAGTCAGCTTATGGAGCAAGAAAATGCTGTGTGTCATCATTAAGTCACTTCTAATGCAGTCTCTTGAAAGAGTAGGCAAATTTCAGAGAGACTGGTATGAACAGACAATTTGATTATGGATGTCAAACAGGAAGTGAAAATCTGAAGAATCTGAATTTATTACGGTTAATTATATATTGACTAGACTAGGCACAAAATTTGCACATGGGGGGCGGGGGTCCCTTAGCCTGGCCTACACCCTCTCACAATCTGGGACCCCTGGCTCCTAACTGCTGGCCTGCCTGCCTGCCTGCCTGATCGCTCCTAACCACTCTGACTGCCTGTCTCATCGCCCCTAACCCCTCTGCCTGGCTGCCTCATCGCCCCTAACCACTCGCATGCCTGCCTGATTGCCCCTAACCACTCTGCCTGCCTGCCTGATTGCCCCTAACCACTCTACCTGCCTGCCTGATTGCCTCTAACCACTCTGCCTGCCTGCCTGATCGCACCTAACTGCTCGCCTGCCTGCCTGATCACCCTTAACTGCCTTTGCCTCAGCCCCTACTATGGCAGCTTCGTCCGGAAGGATGTCCGGAATGACGTCTGGTAGGTTGTTCAGCTTTCGGGTCTAATTAGCATATTACACTTTTATTATTATGGATGGGGTTGGGGTCTTGGAATTATAGTTCTATGACTTCCCCCAACTTCTTTTCTACCTACTCTTTAAAAACAAAGTCAGGATCAGGATCATACAGTGATAACACTGTAAAAAATCAATCTTAACATATATTGATTTTAAGATATTTTAATTAGACCAACTAAACTAGTAAATTGTTTCAAATTTCACATAATGGCAAGATTTCCATCATTGACATCATATATACTAGATCAGCGATTTTCAACCTGTGGGCGAGGCAGGCACACTGGTGTGCTACAAGAATTTTAAAACATGCAATTCCTGACTATTTAGTCATGGGCACTGACCTCTTCTCCCTTAGATTGTCAAATAAAAAAATGACAACAGTCAACACAACAATAGCCATCTGGTGTGGAGGAATCAAAATTATACCTATGTTTTGTCAGATGGACAAAAAGTATGTTTTTTGGTGTGCCGCAGAATTTTAATAATTAGTTTACAGGTGCCATGAGATAGAAAAGGTTGAAATCGCTGCAGTAGATGGTTAATTACTTTACTAAGTTTTCTGCATTTTGTAGCTCTTGTGTATATTTACATACACAAATCCTTGCTGTGGAAAAACTCCTTGTAGATGAGAAAGGAAATAATAATATTTACTTCACCTGGGAATCTGACCTTAACAACTTGAAGTTTGAGTAAACCTAATATGGTATAAAATAAAATCTTTTAATAAGGTAAAAAACACTATCCAAAATATAAATAAATGGAGAATTGAAGAATATTAACGTTGACTGATATTTAAACATTATATAATTCAGGGGGTCATCATTTCCTTGGATTCATGAATTAAGAACCTGATGAAAGCTATGGATCTTCCCTCGACAAAAATGTATATAATTTTGCTTATAATTTCACATGTTCTTGAACCCTCTGATGCCCATTGCCGGACTCCAAATTAAGCATCAGATAAAATTCATCTACTTCCTTTTATGGTTGATGGAACTGAGAATCATGGTGGCTATGCAACGTGCCCATAGCCTTCATGTGAGGTAGGGTAGAGAGTTCACTCTAATTGCAAAGTGATTTTTACTACCACTTGGTTATGAAACTTCTAAATAAGAGCTCACTTAACTTAGATGATTAATGTGAGAGGTCCCATTGGCCTAAATGTCTCTTCCTACCGAGCCTCTCACAGTGCCTTCAATTCTCACACGTGAGGTCTTCTGGTAGCATATTTGTGTTAAGGTGAACAAAACATTAAGCACTGGCCTCCATTCAAATGCCAGGAGAAGGCCAGCTAGAGGATGATATGGGTCACTAGCCCAGATTCTTTTTCTGGGAATTCTCCTTTGGGATTCTGGGTCTCCTTACCTGCCGTTGACCTTGATGCCTTCATGCATTTGCCTACTTTTCCCACATCAGCTCAGTGGAACAAGGAGGTGGGATTAGAGAGATCTGGTGTAAAAGAAAAAGGGGGATGGGGCAGAAAACTCTCCTTAGCAAGATTAAAGTTAAGCAAAGGCAGCATTTTCAGAAATTCATCTGGTTCAAATATTTTTGCAGCTAGAAGTCAGAGTTCTGGAAATGTTTTATATTGTAATACTAGGCAACCATATTCTCAGCATTGTTGGAATGTATTTAGAAGTCTCCAGTTTTATAAGTCTCATGCAATTAACTTGGAGAAACTTGCACATGTTGGATAAGGGCTGTGTGTAAGGCCAAGAAGAAAGCTTCTTAGACTGATATTCCAGGAAAGATGGGATTTCCTTTTGAACATACTTGCCCTCAAACAAATCAGAAATTGAAATACAGAAATATGTTAAATATAATTAAATATAACAAGTGCTTTTTGTGATTGCCTGAACAAAGATGTATTTGTCTGCATGACTTTCTTTTGAAATATGATTTATTCTAATGCTAAAGATGACACCTATTATAGAAAATCTGGAAAACAAGAAAAAAAATTGCAATTTCACTAAGCAGCGATAAAAACCACTGACAATTTGATGCATGTATTTTCAGGTTTTTTCAATGAATGTACATTTAAACACACACATATACATACATATCCCAATGTATGTATTTATTTCCATTAGAAGCTAAAGAAAATGATGGTGAAGTCATTTTTCCCCACCAAATATCTTTCTATGTGGATCTCTATTTCTTTAAAACAATTCCCAGGGTAAACATTTCTTTAGGATTTTCCTGCTTCTTATTAAATGCTCTACTCAGAGTTGTACCAATACATTCTTGCCGTAATACCTGGGTGTGCTCCTTTTCCTTATTCTCCTATTAATATTCTATATTTAATTTTTTTCTTTTCATTGTATCTATATTGGATGATGGATGCTAACTAAACTTTTTGCAATCATCATATCACAATATATATATATATATATATATATATATATATATATATATATATATGTCAAACCATTACACTGGACACCTGAAATTTAAATAGAGATGTATGTCAATTATATTTCAATATAACTAGGAAAAATAAAGCTTAGTAGCTATATAAAAAAATCGATGCCACCTTGGTCAGCGTGGCTCAGTTGGTTGAGCATCATCCCATGCACCAAAAGGTAATGGGTTTGATTCCCTGTCAGGGCACATATCCAGGTGTGGTTCAATCATGGGTAGCATATCACATTGATGTTTCTCTTTCTCTCTCTCTCTCTCTCTTCCTCTCTCTATAAATCACTTTTTAAAAAAAGAATGAAAGTTTTTTTTAAAATCTACTTTAACTTGATGGGCTAAATATGGTATCCTACGTTAAAGTCATTACTTTGATTACTCTTGAGATGAGACTATTTTGTATATATTTATTATCTATCTCTATTTCTTCTACTATAAATTGTTTTCCATGCATGCTTTTTAAAAATTGTGGTACTTATCATTTGCAAGCTGATTTATAAAAATTCCTTATATAACTTAAGTATAAACCCTATGTTTTAGGAATTGAAAATATTTCCGCCATTATTTTCTTTAGCTTCTGATGGCACTTTCTCCCCTTAATGTATCATGAAATGTTACTTGTGCCTCCAGTAGATTTGAGCTGAACTGCTTGCAATGGGGCAGGCCTCATCACATTTATCTGGTGGGACAAGTAGAGGGGACACCTATGGAGGGTTTGGGGTGTTAAAGCTGAAGTTCTGGAGTTGAAGTTCTCAGCACCTCTGGTTTCTCCCAGATATTCCCATTCTAATCGCTGAAATGATACATTTTCTCAATAAACACACCAATTTTCATTTCAAAAAAGGCTACAATACAGAAGCTGGTTGTATTTATTTGTGTCTTTTTAGATGCCTCTTGGACTAACTTTGAGCAGTCTCAGGTGGCTGGCTATAGTCAGAAAGGCTTCTGGAACATAACTGTATTTTTTTTTTTATTCCTCACCTGAGGATATGTTTTTATTGATTTTAGAAAGAGAGCAAGAAACATCAATGTGAGAGAGAAACATTGATACGTTGCCTCCTATACTGGGGGTTGAACCAGCAACTTAGGTATGTGCCCTGACCAGGAATGGAACCTGGTGTATGGGACAATGTTCCAAACAACTGAGCCACCGGGCCAGGGCCATAATTGTATTCTTACTCTCCTTTTCTGTCTATTTTTAGCTGGGCACCCTTGGCCTGAAGCTTCTCTTTTTCTTGATCTTATTGCATTTCCTTGAGGCTGCAAAAACTGAACATACTTTAACATATGTATGTTCTTTGCTTCCAGGACTACCCACTTCTCGCCTCATCTACTATGACATAACCATTTTCTTTGATGGTCTGTAACTTGCAAACTCGCTTCCATATAATTTCTATGCTAAGATTCTTTTGGTTTCAAAGAAGAGAAACCAACTCAAGGGTGCTCTAGCAAAAGCAGAGGATTTATTACAAGTCTTTGGGGCAGGAAATGTAGCTAATGTTATGCCCAGATTTCAAGATTCCCAAGAAGCCACCAGGGAGCCATCCAATCCGATGCAAAAGCAAAGAGTCTTTTATTTTAAGCCCGGGCTTAGCTCCTCTACCTTCCTTACTGACGCAGCAGCAGGTGGCAAAAAGAGAGCAGTCTGCTCGAACCAGGGGTTTTATAGAGGGTTGGAGTAGGGGCGGGAGAGGGGGCTGTGCCCCCCGCCGATTGGCCAGGTGCGAGCTGGTGACCCATTACACAGGATGTGGTCATATCTATGGCTCGCACTTCCCTTGATTGTCATTGGTTAGTTTAAAATCCCGGGCGTGGCCAGCAGAGGCCTGGGCTTCCGGGAAGAAGGCCGCACGTGGCCCCAACATGGAGGATACAGGCAAGATGGAGGGCATAGCCCTCGCCCTTTCAGCTAAGACTCAAGGGTACTAGGCAAGAAACCAAAATGTTGGAAATCCAAGAAACATGCTCTCACACTCATATCTGCTATCATGTCATATCCGCCTTTTCCTTTCTTGGTGGACTGGATTTCCTCTGCTCCCGAGTCCCTGTGATGGTCTAGGGATAGCTGCTCATGGTCTCCAATTTAACGGAGAAAGACTGACTTTCCTACTCTCAGTCCTGAAGGGTAGCAGGACATGCCACTGCAGAATACGCCATGTTGGCATAGGATTATGTTGAGCTTGAAGGCTATTGAGAAGAAACAGATATAAGAAAAGTACCCTGCCTTCCCCTTATTTGCCTAAAAGCAGACAAACATTTTCAAAGGTCTCCCTACTTCCTACTCTACCAGGAAAGACAAAATTCAATCCCTGGAGGCAACTTTAGACCCTTAACAAAGGCAGTAATTTATGTGCATAACCCTCTACTACGCCTCAAGACTGGCCTCCCCCACACTTTCTTATGGTGTCAGCCGAAATTGCCCTATAAGCCAGCGTTCTAATGACTCATTTCCCCCTGATTATCTCCATGTATACTTGAGGTATGCATGATAATAAACTTCTGTTTGTTTTTCTCTTATAAATCTGTCTTTTATTACAGGAGTCTTAGCCAAGAAGTCAGAAGTTTAGAGGGAGATTTTTCTTTCCCTACAATCCTAAATCTAAAATTCTAAGATAGGAACTTTGGTCCAGTTTTAATGAAGTGCCTACCTTGGGCACTGAGAGTAGGCGTGTGAGGTCACATTGTCCACATGGCTGTGGGAACCCACTGCTCGGTGGACAGGGGGCAGCTAAAGGGACTGCTGTGAATTTACACAGATACAAAAAGTACGCATCACATTAACTGTATTTTTAAAGATCCTCCCCTATAACTTCTAGCATAGATGTCATGTTACATGCCAGGAAATTTAAAAATAAATGAAAACTATCCATTTTAGGAATATCGTCTGCAAGAAAGTAACCACTGAAATTTAAGAAAAAACCTGAGAACCTGGTCCTAGTTAATTCCGTTGTTTTGCAGAGACAATGCCTCTGACACAACAATGACAAGCGGGAGGGGTAGGTGACTATGCCCAGTGTGGCGTGGAACCTGAAGAGTAGCTGAATGCCACCCAGAATACGACTGTAGGAGTTCAGGATGAGCCACTTCAAAACATGCTGCTTGGGCATATTGATTTCTCTGAGCTGTAAGCACTTAAGAAACAGCAGATGCAGGGAGAGGCTTTCTCTCAGCTCCCTCATCTGCCTAAAGATCTTCCAAAAGGAACTGGGTGTCACAGATCCCTCCCCAGGAGTGTCATCAACCAGGGAGGACTGACTCATGCCAGGAGAAGAGGCTAGAAATGGACATCACACCCAGACACACCTGTCACAAAGGATCATACTGCCCGTCTGTTCTGCTCAGGGCCCATTCATCTCTCCTAAAAAAAAAATCTTTACTCTCCCACAAGAGGCCTATATCTCTCTCTGCTGTCCTAGTAGCATGGTATTTCACCTGATTCTAAGTCACCCCTGGGAGCTAGTCGCTTATCCCTGGGTATCTCCCATGTGTGCATGAGTTATACATGTTAATAAACTTCTGTTTGTGTTTCTCTTGTTGATCTGTCTTTCATTACAGAGGTCTTAGCCAAGAATTCAGAAGGGTAGAGGGAAAATTATTTTTTTTCTCTCCTACAAACCTAAACTTCTAGTATAAGGCTCCTATAATTTCTCCAGTTTACTTTGGGAAATATTTTCACTTAATTTGTACATCATGTTAAACTTATTTTGTTTTTTTTAAAAAAATGTATTTTAAAAGCCAAAGGCAGGGAAAAGTAATACATTCAATATTCTGTACTTAGAACAAAACCCAAACTCCTAATATATAAACTTAATATTCTTAGCTTTGAAAATGTAGTGTTAATATAATTGTATTCAAGAACAACCACACCCTCGGAACAATGTTACCTTGCAGAGGAAGGGAAGGGCTTCCTCAAATTGTTTTTACACCTGAAGAGCCACTGTAGTTAGGGAACAAAGGAACAAAGACGAGGGGTCGCTGGCGACTTCATCAGGACTTCCAATCAACCTGCTCTGACAATTCTGAACTAGACAGTATCTAATTGAGGAGAGGACCATAGCTTTTGAGACGGCCTTAATATCAGATGAATGCTTTATTTTTACACCTTGATGACGAGAACAGAAATAGAAGCTTTCCCAAGTAGAGAGTCTCGTATTCAGCCATTCTGCACAGGCCTTCTATAAATATTAGATGAATTTATAATGAAGTTATGACCAACCATGATCCTTAGATAACAGCTCACCATAAACCCTTATCTCAAGCCATCTCACTATTTCGTAGGATGTAGAGTAGGTAGGGGATCAGGTTTTATTGTTCTATTCTACAGAATTTTAAGCAGAAAGTTTTCTTTTTTGGGTACAAGAGTAATAAATATCGTGAATAACATCCACGGTAACTTTGCCTTTCCTGTCTTTTAATAACTACAATATTAATCAAAATTATAGTTCTTCGGGAAGACCTCACATTTTTTATGTTATGCTCTGCTTCATGATGTGTGTTATATGACGCCACCAAAGACTTTGTTTTTATTTTACAAATGCCTCAAGATTTTGTTTTTGTTTTTAAATATATTTTATTGATTTTTTACAGAGAGGAAGGGAGAGGGATAGAGAGTTAGAAACATCGATGAGAGAGAAACATCGATCAGCTGCCTCCTGCACACCCCCCATCGGGGATGTGCCCGCAACCAAGGTACATGCCTTTGACCGGAATCGAACCCGGGACCCGTCCAGTCCACAGGCCGACGCTCTATCCAGTGAGCCAAACCGGTCAGGGCTTGTTTTTATTTTTGAAAGAAGGATACAATATCACTGTCTCATTCATTTAAAAGCTAACAGTTGTGGATGAAAGGGGCCACATGCTAACCTGATAAGCTCAGGGAAGGTTTGCATGGCAGTCTTTCAAACTCAAAGACCTAGCATAACCACAAAGGATGGTCTGAAACTAAAAACTTTAACTAAAAGCAGTTATGGTGGGTAGTCACCTCCTAGGCCTGTATCTTCCTTGACAAGGTCAACCTTTACTTTAACTTATTGTCTTTTTGCATCTACTATAACAAAAAGTATCATTGAAATGTCAGGGTAACTTGAAACTTCCCTTTTTCCGGACCCCTCAGGACACAACCAAATGCCCTGGGCGCCAGGGCAGACACCACAAATTCCTTCATTGTTATTGTTGTTATGAAAATCGTTGACTGTTAACTATCCTGCACCCACCTACGTATGTGTCTGTCATTTTACTCTTTATCCAATCCCAGAGGATTCCCTGCTTTGCTTTTTCCCGCCTCTCTATTCTATCACCAATGGGTTTCATGTAACCCACTGATGTCTCCTCCTTTGATTGCAATGTTTAAAAATAGATGAAAGCCCTAGCTGATTTGGCTCAGTGGATAGAGCATCGGCCTGCAGACTGAAGGGTCCCAGGTTCGATTCCAGTCAAGGGCCTGTACCTTGGTTGTGAGCACATCCCCAGTAGGGGGCGTGCAAGAGGCAGCTGATCTGTGTTTCTAACTCACTATCCCTCTCCCTTCCTCTCTGTAAAGAAATCAAGAAAATATATTTTTTAAAAAATAGATGAAAACCGCCATTCTCTGGAGCATTATCCCAAACCCGGCAATTGTCAAGAGTTCGGCTAAAATAAACTCACAAACATTCTTTATAGGTTTGAATGTTTTTACGTTAACACAGTTGCCTAAATCGGTTTTCAAAAATGGAAAATATTTTTCAAAACTGTGCAGGCAGAAGGAAGGTCTTAAACCGTATGTCTCACTGTCACCAAATCTCGTGAGCAAACCTTCCATTTCAGACGAGGGCCCCCTTGCACACTGCCCTTGCCACCCATGGAGGGTGAGACCATCTGGGCGAGCTCACCATGCCATGGAGCGGCCAGGTGTGCCAGAGTGGCACCTGTCCTCTTTCACGAAGACACATATGGTGGCTCCCTGTGCATGGCTTAGCTCCAGGATGAGGCACCAAGGGGAGGGAGGGCATCATCTCTGCTCCCGATGCTCCCCCTTCCCTCCTGAACCTGCTCCATCTCAGAGTGCCAAGTGTGCTATAGTTAGCGTCATGTGTCATAACTATTTCACAGATGTTTCTCATTGATCTTTCACTGGAATGTTTTCTCTCTCTTTCTCAGGAGAAAAATGTTTGCAACAGGATTGGGGTTGCGAATGGTCGAGGGTAAGGTGGGGGGCAAGGGGACACTGTTACTTACAGACCCCCAGGGCACATTCTGGAATTCTTGGTGACACTGCGGCCAATCCTTGGGCCTTCAGTGAATGGCCTGGATCCTGCGTAGCTTCAGCTGCGAGTCCTTCCAACGGATGCTAAAAATACACTGCAGTTTATTTTCCTCAGTAGGGAGCATATGTGTTCCCACTTGACCTGGAAACACAAAGAGAGCCAATGTTAAATCGAATGCTGCCCAGTCCAAGATAAATTTGTTTTCTGTAGTGCAGGGGAGAGAAAAAACAACAGATATTGGGACAGTGTTGCCTTTGCTCTCAGGGGGAGTCAGTGTCTTGAACACATTTTTTACGCTCCCTGTTGGTAGTTAAGTGACCACTCTCAGACTTCTCAGCCAGTGCTGATATGAACTGGCTCTCATTCAAATCGGACAGTGAGTCTAAGGCAGGTTTATTACATTTTGGGAAAGAAGAGTGAGGAAAGCTTTCTTTCTCTTTTTTTTTTTTAATCTTCTTAAAAGACAGAAGCTAAAATGCCCTCTAATTGAAGGACAGATTTTTATGGACACTTGTACTTATACCTTTTTTCCTTCAAATAAGCAAACGAAGAAGCAAATCAAACAATTTATCAACAAATGGCAGAGAAATTCTGTTTTAATAACAGATGTTAAACCTAGTTCTTGTGTTTGGGGCTATTTAATCTTTGGGTGGCCCAATATTCTTCATACATATTATAAGAGCAGAGCTCACTTTAACTGTAGATGGGTGTCTTCCCTGCTTTCAGCTGGTACCACTTTTCTGCAGCTTAAAATACTCAGTTGGCTGACAATGAACTTAGACCCATTCCTCTCCACGCCCCCACCACACCTCCAAGAAACAGCACAGTGATTAAAACAGGAGGTTTGGACTCCGCCTTGTTGTGAGCCTGGATTATGCCATTGAGTAGCTCCGTTTTCATTTTTCGCCGTTTGTAAAACGGGATAATAATGGGACCTGCTATGCAAGGCTGTTGTGCAGGTTAAAGGAAACACTGCACGAAGAGCATACAGCACGGAGCCTGAGTTCACAGGAAGCCTTCATGCATGTTAGCTATTATTGCTGGTGATTATTCTTAGATAGCTCAGCCATCCCAATATCCAGAGTTTAGAGGACATGACCTTGAAGATCCCTGTGGTTAAACTGCCCTCTGTCAAATTTGGCTTTATTTTTATTTCTAATCCTCTTCTTCGGAACAGGCCTAAAACCTTTTAAATCAGTGGTTCTCAACCTTCCTAATGCCGCGACCCTTTAATACAGTTCCTCATGTTGTGGTGACTCCCAATTTCATTGTTACAAATTGAACATAATTAGAACATAGTGATTAATCACAAAAACAATATGTAATTATATATGTGTTTTCTGATGGTCTTAGGCGACCCCTGTGAAAGGGTCATTCGACCCCCAAAGGGGTCGTGACCCACAGGTTGAGAACCGCTGTTTTAGAGGGATGTGCCTTCCTCCTCCTCTTCCTACCTTTCCCTTGATTTCCTACAAGTTCATCTAACAAAATCAAAACAAAAAAGGTTAACATCAAGGAGGTGAGAAAGTTTCCAAGGGAAGTTACTTAACATTTTCAATGATGGTAGGTCAAGGAAGGAAGAAGCGTGAGTGAACCTTCTAGAGATCAATGTGCTGACTACTGGGGATAGAAGCCAGATTACTGGGTCCAAGAAGGGAACCAGTGGAGACAACCAGACTGGCCCCAGACCACTTATGTAAGATATTTGACAGAGAAAGGAAGTAAGGCAATGAGACAGTAGCTAGAAGGTTAGCAAGGTCAAGATGGAAGAAAGTCAAGTATGTTGAAGGCAGCACAAAATAAATGAGGGATGAAAGCTTCCTTGGAGCTTGTTGCTAGTCTACCAAGGGGTGACAGCAGAGAACTGCGGCTGCCTGGGGCCATCCACACTGTTATGGACAGGTAATGAATGGAAGACTAATGCCCACAATGCATAGGATCCTCCCCTATAGCTCAAGACCCAACCTCTTCACACATGTTCTCCCCTAGAAGACTTGTGCCCTAACAAAGGGTCTGCACTCTGGGAGAAAGCCAATGTGCCTGAGATATTACTGCAATCATAGGGTAGTGGCTAAAATGAAAACAGCCTCAGAGTAAGAAAAACAGGAAAAATGAAAAGATTTGGGAGCCTGGCTGGCATGGCTGCTCAGTGGTTGAGTGTAGACCTATGAACCAGGTGGTTGCTGTTTGATTCCTGGTCATACCTGGGTGGTGGGCTCGATCCTCAGTAGGGGGCATGCAGGAGGCAGCCGATCAATGATTCTCATCATTGATATTTCTATCTCTCTCTCCCTCTTCCTTCCTCTCTGAAATAAAAATATATTGAAAAGATTTGGGAAAGTTTATAGATGAGGACCATGGCATTGGATAGATATCCAAGGCAAGAAAACTTCGAATAATCGGCATCCTTCTTTTCCAAACTGAGATGATCATTTCTTGCTTTTAGGAAGATCCTGACATGTGCAGGGCCACGGGCTTCGGGCAAGACTACACATGAAGGTCCATATACCATATGTTTAAATCCTATCTAATAAAAGAGTAATATGCAAATTGACCATCACTCCAATACACAAGATGGCCTCCACAAGATGGCTGGCAGAGGAGAGCAGTGAGGGGTGACCAGGCCTGCAGGGGAGGGCAGTTGGGAGGGACCAAGCCTGAAAGGGAGGGCAGTTGGGGGCAATCAGGCCTGCGGGGGAGGGCAGTTGGGAGTGACCGGGCTGGCAGGGGAGGGCAGTTTGGGGGGACCAGGCCAGCAGGGGAGGGCAGTTAGGGGTGACCAGGCCGGCAGGGGAGGGCAGTTAGGGGCGACCATGCCAGCAGGGGAGGGCAGTTAGGGGTGACCAGGCCGGCAGGGGAGGGCAGTTAGGGGCAATTGGGCCAGCAGGGGAGCAGTTAGGCATCAATCAGGCTGGCAGGGGAATGGTTAGGGGGTGATCAGGCTGGCAGGCAGAAGCGGTTGGGGCAATCAGGCAGGCAGGCAGGCAGGCGAGTGGTTGGGTGCCAGCAGTCCTGGATTGTGAGAGGGATGTCCCAGATTGGAGCGGGTGCAGGCTGGGGTGAGGGACCCCCCTCCCCCGCAGGAATTTCATGCACCGGGCCTCTAGTGTGCTATATCGGGCTAGCAAATGTGGTCCTCTCATCCCAACCTGGGCTCCATCGAGCACACGGAGGACCCTGTGGGCACAGAGGGACAGTCAACTCCATCCATACCCCATAGGCCTCGCTCGAATGGCCACGTAACTCCCGAATGGCTCTGGAAGACTGCCCGGCCTCCTCCAAGCAGGCTTGAGGCTGTTTGCACAGGCATTTCCGTGTCCTTCACGCCAAGCATGTTCTAGAAGGCTGAAGGGGCTTTCCCATCCTGCCCCTCAGCCCATCAGAAATTTTACCACAAGGGGTGGGATGTGGCAAGAGGAGGACCAGGTTGGGAGCCCAGGGCAGGATCCTTCTTGTCTGGATTTAAGAGCCACACTGGGCACATTGCACTCTCCTGATCTACTTTTCAAAGAACAAACTCTCAGATAAGTCTTTTTACCACAAGGCTTCCCACCACATTGACGGAAACAGCACATAGCAGGCCAAGGGGCTCAAAAAAAATATTGCTGCTGAGCAAACTCATTCACACCAGGCTTCGGTGCTTCAGTGAGGGCCCAGAGTGGCCACAAACAGGGTGTTGTCTGGTCCTAGCCAGCTCTCTTTATTAGATAAAGCAAATGACACATTATCTCCTGACAGAGGAAGAGCACAATTTTCAGAGACATTTCAAATGGAAGTGTAATTTTCTGATGCCTTCTAAAGGGGAACAGCTTAGCACAGGTTACTTAGATCTAATCCAAACCACTCTAGGACTTCAATTTAGCCATTTAAGGTAGGAAGCTGATGCCTTCTCCCATCTCCAGCCGCAGGCTGAGGTTCAGATTGGAGTTAGACGGAGCCAGAGGATGGAGATTTGGGGTCTGACCACAAAGTTGATGCCTTCAGGGGAATCATTCCACAAGGGGAGTTGACACACCTGACTCTACCCTTTACCTGGCTGGGAAGTTGCTTCATGTCTTGGTCCTGTTTCCTTCTATGTGTGTGTGTGGGGGGGGGGGGGGGGGGAAGGTCAGCCTAGAATGATTTAGAATTTTTCTTGAGGTGGGAGGTCACGGATTCCTCCAGCAATTTGATCTTCCAGGAAATCCTTCAGGTGCACACCGCTCAGTTCTCCCTGGTAACGTACACAGAGTTGGGACCCTCCTGTCCGAGGGCACATCCTCGGATGTAGAGCCAGGCTTGACAGCCATCCCTGGGGCGGATTTCCAGCTGAAATGTTCAGTTGCTCTTTTTGAAGAGACAAACTGTAACTACTAAAATAACTGCAATAACGGCCCCAGTGATAACTGGAATAGCAAGCGGAGTCGTCCCCCCGTCATGTTGCAAAGCTGAAAAATGAGATCTCGGAAGATTTAAGCAAATGCGTGGAAAACATTGCAAGCAGATTCAGACTGCCGGCACCGGGAGGGGCCCAATAAAGGGTTACCAGTGAAGCTAATTGGTCTAGGAGTATATATGTGCTACAAGCCTGTGTCACCACCTGATTGATTCCCTCAAGCATTCTTGCCCAGCAAGGGACCCGAAATTTCCCTGTTTCTATGCGTCAGTTCACCTCATTGTTGCAGTCCCTCCCTAGTTTCACATGCCTCTGGCTCGGAGTCTAAAAACAGTCTGTTATTCCTGCATGGTTGGTTTCTGTGATTAGGCTGCTCAAACTGCCCTGTCTGCCTCCGCCTGTTCCACCTGCCTTTGTTTTCCACTGGACCCCTGCCCTGCCTGCCTGTGTGTCAAGCTAACTCCTCTCACCTGGCTATGGGTCCCCAAAGGACGGCATTGTCATGCATGGGGGACAGTCACAAGTGTTAAGTGGTAGATTTAACCCATGAATTGTTTTGTGTCTCCGAAAAGAATTTGCTTCATTCTGAACTCACCTGGAGGCAGTGATGGAGGTGATACCCAGAGACTCAATAAGTCTTAAGATTCTGAAGAAATTATTTACTTAGCATAGATGTGACAAGGAAACTTCCTCAAAAAGGAAAATATCAACTTTAGAAGTGAGCACAGGGCTGCTAAGTTTGCCTGCCATTTTCTTGAACCTACAACATAAGTCCTGTAGTTTGGGGAGATGGTACCTAGCTCCCAGGGTTGTAGTAATGATAAATGGGACACCCCAGAAAAAAACACTGTGTTTCACCATGCACACCGTCCCCCCACCCCACCCGCACCCCAACCCCCAATTAGTCTGCCGAGAGCCTGCTCAAAGCCTGCCCCAGGGGCTCTGAGAACCTGTCTCAGCTGGTTTTTCACAAAATAGGGCCTCAATAAATATATATCAGATGAATGAATGGCTGCTTGCATTTCTCCTTTTGTGTACTTATTAGGTGCAACAATGAAACCCAGGCCCCTGAATTCTGCCAGTTCCATTACCGTGTGGATGTCGGGTGACTGGAAGGGAGAGGGCGGTCAAGAATGAGTAAAGGGAGACAGCGAAGCCTACGCACCCGGAGAGAAAAGAAATCCTTGGAGGCTTGGGGGCAACAAAGAGCCAGAGCAGACGAATCCAGGCACGAGGGCCCGGGGCCTCGCGTGCGCAGCCAGGACCCACTCCCCGCACGTCCCCGCAAAGTGGCCCGCACCCCAGCCAGGCGCCCACCAGTCCCCGAAACGGCGCCCGCCTCTTGGGCGCTGCCGGGGACACCCCGCGCCTCCGCCAGTCCACGTGGGGGGCTGAGCCGCCGGGCGGCCTTGCCCTTTTCCCGA